TCGGTTCTAGCAGTGACTTTTCGTTTTATGGTGTCATCTCAGCTTTAGAAAGTCAAGTAATGTCTTTACAAGAACTTAAATTAAAGGGTCGTTATATTCCTGAATTTATCGTTTTAAATAATTGTGAAACGTTAAAAACTCTCAGGATCAGAGATAAAGATGCCCTACCTTTGGTAAAACAATTGGCTGATGGTCTTTGTAAAATCTGCACTCTGGATATTGAAACTAAGACACTCAATACTTCTGACATAATTCCTTTGTTACGAAAAGCTGGTCCACACTTAGAGTGTTTATCCCTCTTACCATCTAATGAAGTTATCCCTTTACAACCACAATTATTGGAAACCCTAATAAAGTTTTGTCCCAATATCAACTATTTTTGTGCTTTCTCTCTTGAACTTTCCACTCAATTCATTGAATTCATTAAAGGTTTACAAAAATTACAATTCCTTACGTTAACGTGCGAAAGTTCTGAATCTGAATCTGTTACAAAATTATTGGTCACTGAACTTGCAAGAATATTACCACCAACATTACACTACTTGAACTGGAACTATAAACGGGCAGGTCTAGCCGTAACATCATTTTGGCGTTCTAATTTTTCTGGTTTATACACAGATATTTTACTTAAAAATTGTGATGCTCCATTAAAAAGACTGGTTTTCTTTGACATTAGTAAAGAAATAGCCGATGCGGTTATTGAATTCTGTTTAAAAAAACAAACTTTAAAGTATGTTTGTTCGATGAAACGGTCCAAGAGAATATTGGGAAATGTTAGATGATTATGTTGAACTAAGACCATTTAAATATATGGGTGATTATTGTTAATTAGTATCCTAAAATTAAATGTGTTGAGGTAATGTTAGTCAAATCAAATTGATTCATTTATTTTAATTTTTACTATTCATTAATTACATTTTATATGTATTTTATATAGCTGAAACTCTTCGGTTTAGGAATGTGCTCATTTGCTTTGGCGTATAAAATTCATTAATTTAGGGTGG